CAGTCAAGTGCCTTAGCCACTATGCTACCAGAGCTCTCTGGGTGTCCCTAAGTAGCCTATATTTAAAGCTTTTTACATATTATTGTAATTGTGTATTTAGCTAGATACATGTTTTTAATATATATGTATGTATTTTCTTCTAGTACCTAATACACTGGCAATGGAGGGGATTTGAACTTTCTTTGGAGAATTATTGAGTAGATTAATGAATCATGGTTATGTTTCTATATGAGTCAAGGAGCTTCCTACTAGAGTGTGTGGTCTGAGAGCTATATCTCAAACAGTGGTCCTCCTGATGGGCAGCCAATCAGAAAATGCAGACATTTCTATGGTTCTTAGGAGCAAATGACAAACAATTTCTTAGACTTTAATTTTTACTTATGAGTAAGAGCTATTAACTAGCAAATGCTAAGTGATTTATTTTTAAGGATAGCATTTATACTTTTAGATTAGCATGTTACTAGATTTTCCCTAAAGATGAAGTCAGTATTTTACCTTGGAATCTGGCTACCACCCAATGATGCAAATGCCTGTTAAGTATGCACTCACCTCATAGTGGGAAATCTCATAATCTTCAAGAAGAATAATTTGTCAGTCATAAGTATTTCATGATTTTCAGTTGCCACCATCTTGTATTTTAAAGATAAATTATTAATGGCTGAACTTCATAATCAGTTTAGTTTGTTGTGTGTTGTTGGTCCATAATACATATCCTTTGTTTATAATTTTCAACAACTAGACTTTAAGGCATGCTGTCACTATGGCCATTATACATAATCTCAAAATCCGAAGAGTAATATTCATTTTTGATAAACTGCCTCATATTTATTGTGTGTATCTTCTATTTTAATTACTTGGGTTAAGCTTGGATTAAATGTAAGAAAACTACTGGATTATTCTTTAGTTTATATTATAAAATCATGTGTATAATATCAGTCTCTTCCCTTATGAAGTAAAGCAGTTCATAAAAGCTGTTAGCTTTTCTTCTCTTTCAATCTTTATCACCAAGCTCTTTTTCAGAGTGAATTTGGATGAGCTAAATCTTCTGCCCCATTAAACTGAGCCAGGGTTAGAAAGCTTGAGATCAGTTGCTCTAAAATGCTGCTGGTCTTCACAAGAAGGGAAGAGGAAATAGTTTACAAGGGCCTTTATAAATTCACCTCTGCTACTAAGAAATACAAAACAAAAACTTTGTTTAAAATATTGTAGGCTATAGTGAAGGACTCACCCTATTTTTACATATAAAAAAAATGATTAGCTCTCAGTTATCAGGGCTGGGACTAGGGTGAGGCAAGTGAGGCACTCACCTTGGGTGTAAAATTTAAGAGGATACCAAACACCTCAGTAATATTCTTTAATAAAAATCAAAATTAATACAAAAAAAGTCCATGATGAACAAAATACTAAAATTTCAAATAAGGACAGGATCTGACCCTACAGTTGTAAGACTTAGCTTTACTCATTTTACCTTTATCCCAGCCCTGCTCAGTATATTGGGGACATTACGTTACTTCTGGATAACAATTATTAGACCAATGACTGTCCCGAAGAACTGGGGTGACTTATTAAAAAGTAACACTTCTTCCTAAGTCATTTGATAAAACATGTTCTATCATGTCACCAAGATGTTTAGCTCTGTACTTTGCTCTAGTTGTTTTTTTAAAAAAAAAAAACCAAAACATTGTGATTAAACATTTCAAACTGCATTCAAGCTTAACTCTTTTGAGATTCATTCATCTTTAATTATTATCATGCTTCTGCTAGTTTTAACCTGCCCCTTCTTTTGAAAGACAGAGGTGTTTGTGCAGAGAGAGTGGAAGAAAGCAGAAATAGTGTGCTGAGAAGGAAAATTAGCATGGCCTGGCTAAGTGCACAAGTTGAAATGAGCATAGGATGACTTTTAAGGTGACATCAGTGTTGCAAAATGGGGCCCACTGGAATAAGATGGTGGCAAGTGACGACATCTAAAAGAAGCAAAGAGAGCATTGCCTCTCTGGGTTCAGCTTTTCATGGGTGGAAGTATGCACCTATGTAGACAGTATCTACTGGTCTTTTTGAGAGACAGTGATAACCATTGCCTATATCCATTACTTCACTGGGGGCTGCAAAATGGTGATATTCTATAATTGTTTATTAATAAAAATGTTCTATCATTTCTTCTTTATTTATTAGGTGGACTATTTCTATAAAGAGAATCAAAGAGCTTTAAAGTTAGGTGGAAATATGCTATTTTCATTATATGTGTATATACTTTAAAAGTTAAAATGTTGACCCTACTGTACTGGTTTCCTCTGTTCATTTCCCTGTTTCTTCTTCCTTTTACAATCAATATCCCAAACAATTACTCTCAGATATTTGCCTCCTGTTTTTTTCTCTTGTTTTTTCTTCAGCTAAGTTTAACCCATCTATATTTTGTTCCCTCACACCATTAAAACTGTTCATGTGAAGATAACTGATGATTTCCATGTTGGACATATCCCATGGAAAAGTTTTTTTTTTTTTTTTTTTTAACAGTGAACATTTTTCTGTTCTTCTCTTACTTGATCTTTCTGGAACATTTGCACTATTGTTCCTTTAACTTCTCCCTACCCTTAGCTTCTGTGAATCCATTGTTACTTGGTTGTGGTCACCCCTGCTCAAGCTCCCTTATTAAGTTCCTCTATCTTTTCTCATTTCTTAAATATCGGTGTTCTTTTTCCTTTTACTCTCTTGTCTCTACACATCTTTCAGTTATCTCATTCCCTCTTGTGGATTCAGATTGCACCAGTCACTGGTGACTCCTAATTTGTAACTCTGGCCTAGATTCATCTCTCCAACTCCAGCCTTACATATCTAAACACTTTACACTTACCATTCCATTTAATCCTCACAACAGCACTATGAGGAATGTACTATCATTCCCTTGATTTTATAAATGAGAAAACTGAGTCACAGAGAAGTTAGGTAATTTGACCAAGTATATTTGAGTTTTAGCAAGACTTTTGAAAGGGTCTGTTACAATCTTCAACAAGTAGGTAGAGAGCTCAGAATGGGTTATGTTCTGGGTACTAGAGACATGTTGTTAGGTGCCAGAAATTTAAGGCAGATTCAAAAGAGGCACAGAATGATATGTCCTTACATTTCCTTGATTATGCAAAGGTATTCAAGTGTGTGGATCATAACAAATTATGGATAACATTGCAAAGAATGGAAATTCCAAAATACTTAATTTTTCTCAAGAGGAACCTATACATAGACCAAGAAGCTAGGGAAAAACCAGTGAATAAACAGACAAGAATCTCCTCTCAAGGCGTTCACATATTAGAGAAGACAGTACAAATAATAATAAGTAAAATATATAGTGTGTTAGATGGTAGTAAGTACTACAAATAAAAATAAAGCAGAAAAAAGAAATAGGAAGTTTTACTGTGAAAAGCACAATTTAAAATAGAGTGGTTAAGGAAGGTCTCACTGCAAAGGTAATATTTGTGTAAAGATCTAAAGCAAGTGAGGGAGTGACTCATTAGCATATCTGAGAGATGAATCTTTCAGGAAGAGAGCACAGTGTTCTAGACCATGACAAAGACATTGTAGGCAGAGGGAAATGAGTGAGGGAGAGTTTTAAGAGATGAAGTCAGAAAGGTGAAGATCATGTAGAAAAAGAAAAGTGTGATCATGTAGTGCCTATTAGGCCATTGTGATGATTTGCTTTTTCTCAGAATAAAATGGGAAGCTATTGGAAGGCTTTGAGAAGAAGAGTGACAGCTCTGATTTATGCCTTTTACAGACTTACTCTGGCTTCTGGGCAAAGAAGTAGGAGCTCTGGTGGCATACTGGTTAAAGCATTTGGTTGCTAACCAAAAAATTTGAACCCACCAGACGCTCTCCAAAATTGATTCAATGGCAGTGGGTTTGGTTTTTGGTTTGGTTCTGGGCAAAGAATAGACTGGAGGCAGGCAAGAGTACAAGCTGGGGGTCAGATAGGAGGATATTGTAATTATCCAGATAAGAGTCGATGGTGGCTTGAACCAAGGTGGTAGCAATGGAGGAGATGAGAAGTATTCAGAATATATTTTGAAGGTAGCATATTTCTCAGAACAATCAACCCTAGGAGACCAAAAGAACAGCATCTGCCTAAAGAACAAATTTCAGAAGGCAGGAACAAATTTCAGAAGGCAGGAAGGGGCAGGAGAAAAGGACAAATGAAATGGGTAACCCAGGGAGAAAGTAGTGAGAGTGCTGTTACATTGAGGGGATTTCTACTAATGAGACAAAGTTCTGTGCCAGTTCTGGTGTCAGCTTGTGTCAATTAGCTTTTGTACCAGAAAGCCCATCTTGCATTGTCTCCATCAGGTGATAGTGGTATAGTTTATTACAAAGGTCCAAAATAAGAAAAAAACTTTGAATGTTCTTTTTTGGATCTTCTCTTCTATGTAAACTTCTCTTGCCTCCTGCCAGAAGTTTCATGATGCAGAGGCAAAGAGCTTGGATTCCCAAACCTACTGCCCAAGTTTGAATCCCAGCAGTAGCACTTACTGACTGTGTGACCTCTGGCAAGTTATATAATCTCTCTGTAACTCAGATTCCTCATGGGAATGATAGTAGCACTGCTTTTCTTATAGGGTAGCTGTAAGGATAAAGTGAAGACTAGTGCCTGCAACACGAATGCACTATATAATAGTCATTATTATTATACAACCTAAGTTTCAGTTAATGGTTATTTTCTTGAAATGCAGAAAAGTGTTCATAAATGTTTAGCTTACTGAACTTTTACAAGTTCAACAATCCAGTGTAACTAGCACCTAAATCAAAAAACAGAAATACCAAAAGCCCTCCTCGTGCCCCCTTCAAATACCTACCTCTGTCTAAGGGTAAACAGTACCCTGACTTTTATCTTAATGACTTTTCGTTAAGCATTGATACTAAAGCAATTGTTAAGGGATTTTGTTTTTTATTTAATATCTGAGACAAACCTATTTACTGATTAATCTTTTAATATATAATTATGTTTTGTTTTCTAGGTTGAAAAAACTCCTTGAACAAGAAAAGGCTTACCAAGCCCGAAAAGAAAAGGAAAATGCTAAGAGGCTCAATAAACTAAGAGATGAGCTTGTCAAACTCAAGTCCTTTGCACTCATGCTGGTGGATGAAAGACAAATGCATATTGAGCAACTTGGTCTACAAAGCCAGAAGGTACAGGATCTTACTCAGAAATTGAGGGAAGAAGAAGAAAAGCTGAAAGCCATTACTTCCAAATCCAAAGAAGACAGGCAGAAATTGCTCAAGTTAGAAGTGGACTTTGAACACAAGGCTTCAAGATTCTCTCAAGAGCATGAAGAGATGAATGCTAAATTGGCTAATCAAGAGTCTCACAACAGGCAACTTAGACTCAAACTGGTTGGCTTAACTCAAAGAATTGAGGAGCTAGAAGAAACCAACAAAAACCTTCAAAAGGCAGAGGAAGAACTTCAGGAATTAAGAGATAAAATTGCCAAAGGGGAATGTGGAAACTCCAGCCTCATGGCGGAAGTGGAAAATCTTCGAAAGCGTGTACTGGAAATGGAAGGTAAAGATGAGGAGATCACTAAAACTGAATCCCAGTGTAGGGAATTGAGGAAGAAGCTGCAAGAGGAAGAACACCACAGTAAGGAGCTCAAACTTGAAGTTGAGAAGTTACAGAAGAGAATGTCTGAACTGGAGAAACTGGAAGAAGCATTTAGCAAGAGTAAATCTGAATGTACCCAGCTACATTTAAATCTGGAGAAAGAAAAGAACTTAACCAAAGACCTGCTAAATGAATTGGAAGTGGTCAAGAGTCGAGTTAAAGAACTTGAATGTTCTGAAAGTAGATTGGAAAAAGCTGAATTAAGCCTAAAAGATGATCTCACAAAGTTGAAGTCATTTACCGTGATGCTGGTTGATGAAAGGAAGAATATGATGGAAAAAATAAAGCAAGAAGAAAGGAAAGTGGATGGTCTCAATAAAAATTTTAAGGTGGAGCAAGGAAAGGTTATGAATGTAACAGAAAAACTAATTGAAGAAAGTAAGAAGCTTTTAAAGCTGAAATCTGAAATGGAGGAAAAAGTATACAATTTGACAAAGGAGAGAGATGAATTAATAGGCAAACTGAAAAGTGAAGAAGAAAAGTCTTCTGAATTAAGCTGCAGTGTTGACTTATTAAAGAAGAGACTTGATGGTATAGAGGAAGTAGAAAGAGAAATAACAAGGGGAAGATCTCGAAAAGGACCTGAACTCACCTGCCCAGAAGATAACAAGATTAAAGAACTAACGCTTGAAATTGAGAGACTGAAGAAACGTCTGCAGCAGTTGGAGGTAGTGGAAGGGGATTTGATGAAGACAGAGGATGAGTATGATCAGCTGGAGCAGAAATTTAGAACTGAGCAGGATAAGGCTAATTTCCTCTCTCAACAACTAGAGGAGATAAAGCACCAAATTGCCAAGAATAAAGCAATAGAGAAAGGTGAGGCTGTGAGCCAGGAAGCTGAGCTGAGACACAGATTTCGGTTGGAAGAAGCTAAAAGTCGAGACTTAAAAGCAGAAGTCCAAGCTCTTAAAGAGAAGATTCATGAGCTAATGAACAAAGAAGATCAGCTTTCTCAGCTCCAGGTGGATTATTCTGTTCTTCAACAAAGATTTATGGAAGAAGAAAGTAAGAACAAAAACATGGGGCAGGAGGTCCTCAATTTGACCAAAGAGTTGGAGCTTTCCAAGCGGTATAGCCGTGCTCTCAGACCCAGTGTGAATGGAAGAAGAATGGTGGATGTCCCAGTAACATCGACGGGAGTGCAGACTGATGCTGTTAGCAGTGAAGCAGCAGAGGAGGAAACTCCTGCTGTTTTTATACGGAAATCCTTTCAAGAGGAAAATCATATCATGAGTAATCTTCGACAGGTGGGACTGAAAAAACCTATGGAGCGATCCTCTGTTCTAGACAGGTATCCTCCAGCAGCAAATGAGCTCACTATGAGAAAGTCTTGGATTCCATGGATGAGGAAAAGGGAAAATGGTACCTCAATCACTCAGGAGAAAGGGCCTCGAGCAAATTCCAGTCCAGGGCACCCAGGAGAGCTAGTCCTTTCACCAAAGCAGGGTCAGCCTCTGCATATTAGAGTGACTCCAGATCATGAGAATAGTACTGCCACTTTGGAGATAACAAGTCCAACATCTGAAGAATTTTTTTCTAGCACCACTGTCATTCCTACCTTAGGGAATCAGAAACCAAGGATAACCATTATTCCATCACCAAATGTAATGTCTCAAAAATCAAAAAGTGGAGAAACTACTCTTGGCACAGAAAGAGCCATGTCCCCAGTCACAATTACTACATTTTCCAGAGAGAAGACCCCAGAAAGTGGAAGAGGTGCATTTGCGGACAGGCCCACATCTCCCATTCAGATAATGACAGTATCTACATCAGCAGCACCAGCTGAGATTGCAGTCTCTCCTGAATCCCAGGAAATGCCTGTGGGAAGAACTGTTCTCAAAGTCACCCCAGAAAAACAAACTGTCCCAACACCATTAAGGAAATACAATTCCAATGCCAATATCATAACCACAGAAGACAATAAAATTCACATTCACTTAGGTTCTCAATTTAAACGATCTCCTGGGACTTCAGCTGAAGGAACAAGTCCAGTTATTACTGTCCGACCAGTCAATGTGACAGCTGAAAAAGAAGTTTCCACTGGCACTGTACTCCGCTCTCCCAGGAATCATCTTTCATCACGACCCGGTGCGAGCAAAGTGACAAGCACCATCACCATAACACCGGTCACAACTTCATCTACTCGAGGAACTCAGTCAGTGGTGAGTAGAAGAGGTTCCAAAGTGTAGGCCAGGGGAGGGACGGAGAAATGAATAGCGAGGCCACATCCACAATATAACAAAACTATAGCCTCTCACACCATCTGAACCCACTAACAGTTATTTCCTAGAGGACTATCTACATTTCCTGAGAAAATAAAATAAAAAGTGGCCTAATATTTTGATAAATTGGGCTAATTTTGAGGGAAATTTTTTTCATGTAAATTATGGAGACCCTAAAATACTTTCAAAAATGGTCTCTTTGAAATGGTGGTATATAATAATAGGAAGTTTTAAAATTAGATTTTTATATTGAAAATACTTCTTAAAGTGGAGACAGTTGGGGAAATAGTCAATATACAAGAAGGATTAAAACTGTTGCTATATTATATCTCTATAACCTAAAATATTTAATATATGATTCCATATGGACATAAGTAAAAAATAAGATTAAAAAGATTTTAAATCAAAACTTTTTTAAAAGCAAAAAATGAAGTGAGTTTATATGTCTAAAACTTGTATTTTATTAAGAGAGCTCTGGTAGCATAGTGCCTAAGGCACTTGACTGCTAACCAGAAGGCTGGCGGTTCAAAAACACCAGGTACTTCTTGGAAGGAAGGTTGGGCAATCTACTTCCATGGTGATACCGCCTTGGAAACCCAAGGACGTGTTGCTGTGAGTCGGGTCCAACTCCACGGCACATAACAACAGCAACATCTTGCAGAGAGTAAGTGCTTCATAAATATTTATATAATAACTAGCTGGAAGGCTAAAGAAATTATTATAAAAAAACATTCCCAAAGTATAAAAACCAGAGCTTAAAAATAACTTCTATTTTTCAAGATAATTTCAATGATTGTCTTCATAGATTGGGGACAAATGGGTAAATATAATTATGGACCGAGAAACCCAAGGAGGGGTTGCTATGAGTTGAATCGACTCAACAGCAGTGAGTTTTTTTTTTTTCTTTTATGTAATGATTAGATATTTATTTGAACTAATATCCTAGAAGTTCTCATGATTCTTGGACTCTGAACAAATTATCCAGCATAGTTTGAAAACTCTTTAGAAAGACAGGAAGCTCGTTACTTAACTGTAGAAACTGAGGTTTGTTTTCCCATATCGTCAATACAATTTACAGTACTTTAATTCTCTATGTACAAACATAGACTCAAGACAGACTTCAGAGTATGAATTACTAATTGCTTTGCCAGTAAAGCTTTTATTTATCAGCTCTACAGAAACCACATAGCATTCAGAATTGCTCACCCTTCTCAAATGGTCTAGTACTGCTTTTTAGGCCACACAGCATAGCTTGGCTATGCAATCTTGCTTGTTTCTGCTGCATTGTATATAAAGAGAGTCGTAACAGAAGGTTGATCAAAACAGCCATTCCCTTATAGATATAAAGCTGAAGACTACTATGTCACGTTTAGGCTCTTCCAATCATAGCTGTAAATATTCCTAAGCACCTCTGAAGACAGATTTTCTGCTATAACATGTTATTTCCATTACAAGTGCCAGATCAAGATAACCTTACCCTTGGTAGCAACATTTTTGACTACTGATTAAACCCTGTACACAAATAGGATTTCAAATAGCCTTTCTGAGGTCTGGATGATGACTCACTTATTTCAGGTATATCAGATGCCATACAATTCAGGGACAGTAAAAGGTTTGGGATACTCCTCTTAGAACAGTGAGCCTAGTTCATTTCTGCATTTCTTTCAATAATTATCAAGTTTCTATTAGGCACTGGGCTAGGTGTTGGCATGCCAAGATGAAACAGATATGTCCTTTGCCTTTTAGAAGTTCTTCATTTTGTGGGAGAGGCAGGATTATAACCTATATATAGTAGTCTATGAGAGAGATATGGACCCACCAGAGAAGGCTTCACAAAGGAGGAGGTTTTCACAGATAAGGAGTGTTTTCAAGAAGGAAAAAGGAAGAAGCATGTAGAGAGAACACTATGTGAAAAGGTATGACAGTGTGAAAGAGCCGGACATATTTGGGGAACGGTGAGCCATCTCATTGTGCTGCAACAGTTGGGCAAGGGCAGAAAGTGCAAGAGCAGGAAATGGAAAGGCAAACTGGGGCCAGATATGGAAGGGAGGTGCATGTCTTACTATGAGATTGACAATCTTATAGAGTAGACAAAGAGCCATTGAAAGGGCAGTGAGCGTTAGAGAGATATTCTATTATTCATGTTTTAGAAAGATCCATCTGGAAAACAGTTTAAAGACTACATTAGAAGAAACAGTGACTGAGAACAGGGACGATGCTTTTGGATTTCTCTAGGCTAGACAAAGTGTAGGCTAGAACTGTGGAAGTAGAAATGAGGAGAGAGATATATTAAAGACAGGATCAAAAAGATTTCACGGCAAGTTGAGTATAGTGGGTAGCTCTGAGGTTTCTAGATTAGCCATCTGGGGGAACAGGATGAGAAACATTGGGGAACAAATGATTTAGAGGAGAAGGTAAGTGATGGTGGTTGGGGCATGTTCTATTTGAGATGCCTGCGGGACATTAGAAATGTCCAACAAGTAGTTGGAAATACAGACGTGCAGTTTAGAGCTTTGAAGGCCAGCGATCCTGAGACTCATGGACATGGGGGGTGATAGCTGACTATTCTCAGGGTGAGTGTGAAAAATAAAAGGAAGGTCAAGAATGGAACATGGTGACACATTTAGAGGACTGGCAAGGAAGTACAAGAAGCCAGAAAAAGCAATTGAAAGGAAGCCATCAGAGACAGGGGGTGAAGTCAGCACAAGAGTTTTAGGAGCGGTTTAAGAAGGAAGGTGGGGCCAGCAGTGACAATTAGAAAGAGAGAGAGAGAGAAAAAAAATTTTGAGATTATGAAGAGGTTATCACTGACCTCAACAATAGAGGTTATTTCAGTGAGGAAACACAACATGCCTATGGGCTCAGGAAGAAAAGTCCTGATGCGAATGGGAGGGTTGGGGTCTCAAGCACAGGAAAGGGGAACTGCATCATCTCAGAGAGAGGAAAGGAGGAGGAGTGAAGATAACTTGGGGACAGTTAGAGTAAACCTGCCCGAGGTGGCCTGTATTTTCTATGTAAGATAGGAGGTAAGGTCATTTAGAGTAGAGATAGAAGAGGTAGGTTGGGAACCTGAGAAGAGAAGGAAGCTTGCAATAGATGTTTCAAGAGAGCGATAAGGAGGTAATCAGAATAGATTAGACACCAACTTCAAGTTTCTTACAATTCTTTGATCAGGTTTCCTAAAATTCTTTTATCAAGTTTCTTAAAATTCTTTATCTGGAGGGATGCCATCTGTGGGTGTTCCCGTGTGGCAAGAGTTTTGCTAACACTCCGATTAATGACATAACTCACCAACACCTCCCTTGTGTTTCTGTATTTTCTCTCTTACAGTCAGGACAAGATGGGTCATCCCAGCGGCCTACACCCACCCGCATTCCTATGTCAAAAGGTATGAAAGCAGGAAAGCCAGTAGTGGCAGCCCCAGGAGCAGGAAATCTGACCAAATTCGAGCCTCGAGCTGAGACTCAGTCTATGAAAATAGAGCTGAAGAAATCTGCAGCTGGCAGCGCTACCTCTCTTGGAGGGGGGAAGGGCTGAGGGCAGTGGCTAAGGGGGTATGTTGTGCAGATGCTACTGCTGCCGTGAAAACAAACCGTCTGTTAGTGCCAATCTTTACATGTACTAATTTAAGGTTTCAATAGCTCATTTATAAAATAACCAACTAATAACCATGTGTCTTTTCTAATTTGTGCATTTGTTTTGATGCTAGGGAATAGAACTAATTAGAAAAAAATACTGTTTGCAGTGTGGTTTTTTAAGGACTCTGGGCCTGAGGCAGGATCTGGCTGATTGCCAAAGTTTTGCTTCTACACAAGTGGACGCACCAATTAACCCATCTGAGCCTCAGTTCCTTCATCAATAAAATGCTGGGTCATAAGATCTCCAAGGTGGCCTCCCATATTTTCTTAATGTAATCCAAATTTAATAGCTTTGTTCCACAATATTTTTTCCTCCTCAAAATGCTATTATGAAATAGGAAATAATTTAACAGTTGTCATTTGCCTCTATCAAACCCTGAATTTGCTTCATGTGCTAGAAAAAAATATCATGGCTATCACAGAGTCTGGACTTCTAAAGTTTTACAAAAAGAAAAATCTCTAAGGTTATTTCAGTAAATAAGTTGAATGTAAAATAAAATGGAACTGAAATGTGGAATCCTAAAAACAGAGTTTTACTCATTTGTGTGTGTGTGTTGTAGAAAGTTTGGCCACATCCAAATGATTCCCAGAATTTCACAGACAATATTTTAGAACCATTAATGTTAGACTCACACTCTCTTCAAGTGTGCAACTGATTTAAATTGTGAGCATTTTGAATAGAGCTGCCAAATCTCTACAGAGACTGTAATGGATAGAAAATAGCAGAAAGTAAATTCTCATACATTAATGCCAAGAAAAAAAATATGACATCCTAAATAGCCTAATTGAATTAAAATGTGTTCCTCACTTAAGAGTGGACTTTCTTGCAAATACAGAACCAGCTCATGATTTGGGGTGTGTGTATCTGTGTGTGCGTTTGCGTGTGGTGTAAAGAAGTGGATTCTTATTCCTGTCAGTTTTCCTTACGTTTATATCATTTTCATTAATTTTAAGCATGTTTTTTAATAAGCATGAAACTGGGTGAATGCAAAATGCCAGGTGTTTTTTTAAGGAGATGAATCATGTTGAAGTGAAAATTGTGCTTCTTAGTCAAATAACCACAAATGAGCTCAAAGCTAATAACCCGCAGCTTAGGTCTCACATCAGCAGGACCTTTGCCCAAATTTCTGAGTCTTTTGGGTGAACTTTACAAAGCCATAATAACTACAAATTTACAGATGATTATCTTTCCATTTCTGAATTGTGAGGGCTCCAACATTATTTGGATAGTACCTGCTCTTAATTTTTGTAATAGGGCAGATTTGAAAAAAAAAAAATAGATGATCAGTGCTTGACATCATACTTCATGATAAAGAAGCCTTTCTCTGAGTTCATTTCCACAGCAGATTTCCTATTCCTTGGAGAACTTGAAGTTAGACTGATGGTGGTAGATGACTCACAGTATTTGCACTCGCTTTAATCAGATCCCTATTACCTATTGCTTATCAGTTCTCAGCATATATATTAAAAATTCTTGACCAACCATGTCCAATACATGCCATAATAATGGGATTTGAAGGGAGAAGGAGAGAGAGAGAGAGAGATGGGATAAATAGACTGCTTATGAAGTAATATTCTGAACAAGTTTTAACAAGAGATTTTGCCAGTTAGAATATTGGCTTGTATTTGCTTAAAATGGGGAAAATTCCTTTGGTAAAGTGGAAAGACAACTCTTTCAAAACAAAAACATTCAAGTATTTAATATTACTGTACCATAACATACTGTATTTGAGCAAATGAGGGTGTCAAAGAACCAAACATTCCATTCCTGTTAACTCTACTTGCTATTTTTCAGTGACCTTTATCATAATCTTATTATCACTTGCTGCTGTTTTTGCCTTTACCTGCTCACACTGTTCTGACATTGCTTCCTCCTGGAAGTCCATACCATAAGCAGGGAGAGTGCTCCAAACAACTTAACAGTGCATGTACAGAATGTTTATACATCTGGTTCTTGGAATAGTCACCTACAAAGTAAAACTGCTAAGTAAAGGTAGCAGAACAACATTCACTTTTCAGAAATGATAAAAAGTAAAAACCATGACAGTTTTTTTCTTTGTAATTTTACAACCCAATCTACACTTCTTAGATAGATTTGCTTTAAACCACATATTAGAAATGAAATCCACTGAGGACAGGAGGTGGAGGATTAAATGCACTCCAACTCTAGCTTCCATTTGTGAATATGATGTTTTTAAGATGCACGTTTATGTGCTTATGTAAGACTGAAGGGGATTAAAGAGTCTTCTCCCTGCCCTGAAATATATTGTCCAGTAAGTAAAGGAGTCTCACCAGGACTGCTATGTACAGCTGCGGCTCAGGCCCCACCCTGGGAGAAAAACAGTGGGAGAGAGTGTCATTTCTGTAGACTGCAATGTAGTCGGCGCCCCCTGTGGGCCTGCAGGGCACAATCTGCACAGCTAAGGGGGAGGCCCTGTTCTTCTGAGAATGATTTTAATATGTTGACTATTTCAGCACACTCTAATGGTGACCACTTAGCATGTATGGAACCAGAATTGTTTCCTGTATGGGACATGACTTTCAGGGTGTTGATCATTTCTTGAAAATGTGAGCTGCATGTCTAGGTCATCTGCTTTGGTGGGGTTATTCAGTTTCTACTGACATTCTATTATATTTTCAGTGAAGACTGGTTGATGGGTGGCAATTGGCCTGTCTCCAAAGTTTAGTGTATTCATCGAAGGTATTGCCAAATCTCTTACAGGAATATCTTCAAGAAATAAGTGAAGAGATAGCTTCAATATGTAATCTGGGAGAAAACTAATTTCAGAGAAATGAAAACATGTTCAAGAAAGCAAAGATGTAAAAAAAAGTTGAATTTCTCATTCCCTCATAGATTCAGAGTATTGGGGAAGAGTGAGACTTTCCTGATTGGGAAAACCACAGGCTGAGGAGAGTACACTTTGTGGGGAAGCAGGAGGTCAGAGAGAGAAGAAAAGAGAAGAGGGACACAATGGCAATTTCCCAGTAAACAGAAATATACTACTCAAAAATTTCCCCAACCCTATTAAAGTTTACTGTTTTCTTCCTACTTGCTCTTCCAGGGTCTAATCAATGGTTGTTTACTTTTGCCCTGCTGTTTCTTCTTTTCAATTGCTGCTTCCATACAGGCTGTACGTATGCTGTAGCCTTCTGCATTTTAGCAAGGTTTCTCCTTCAGCTGTGCAGTCCGCTGTAGCTACTGCCCTGTCTCCTTCCCTACCCAGTTAGGCTCTTAACACAACACTCAACATTTTCTGCTTCCATTTTCACAGTTCCAATTTATTCTTTAATTACACAATAGTTCCTATACATAGTTAAAATACCAGCCAGTGCTAAAAGACATAACCGGAACAGCTGCTTCTTACCTCACCACACTTATTCCTCAGTCTTGCTCCCTGGGGGAAAAAAAAAAAAAAATTTCCAACTGTTTCTTCTGGTATTTATCGCCATATTTATTATAAATAATATGCTGGTGCTGCTACTTTTGATTTGTAAATTTTAGATACCACCTTTTGTTTTCCATTATTGTTTTGATGGTTGAGTGTTTAGCCCTCTCACACAGCCCATCCTTTCCCTTCTCCTAGCCTCCCAATATGGTTACAGCGCAAATTTTTTGATAAATCAGCAGTCACCATTTACATGTTTATGAAAGTATAATGTAAGTTCTGTTCTCTGCTGAGCCAAGATACCATGATTATGTTTCTTTTCCTTCTTCAAAATAATAACTGCTTTATTTTTTCATCTGTTTGATTTTCTATGTATTTATTTATTTATTTTCCAGTGCTCCAGTAGATCTGCTAAACATCCATCGATAAGTTTTACAAACACTGAAATACATCCACTTAATATTTTTCTGCGGAAGCCTTCCTAGTTCAGCCCTCTGTTCTTTACTCAGTTTGGGCTGGTTGTCCTCAAGGCCTGCTGCACAGCTGTTGTCCTCTTGACATGTTAAATCCTTTTCCTGGATTTCTTACCTAATACCTTTTTTTTTTTTTTAACTTTTTATTGCAATTTGGGTGACACTTTATGGAGCAAATTGGTTTTCTAGTCAACGATTCATGTACATTTTCTTTTGTGATAATGATTGCAGTCCTCACAATGTAACAGCACTCTCCCCACTTCCTCCTTGGGTTTCCTGTTTCTGTTCATCCTTCTTTCCTGTCCTTTCCTGACTTCTGAGCTTTATCCCTGGGCAAATTCTGCCCTTTTGATCTCATACACTTGATTGTTCTAAGGAGTGCATGCTTCCCTGCTGTTATTAGCACAGAGGGAAATTCAGCTCTAATCTTCTACTTTTGTTTATCTACCTACCATCTGTTCGTCCATCTGTCCATCTGTCTATCTATCTAATCTATTGATTTTTGAAGTACATCTTCCAGTAGTTTTAAAGAAAATCCTTCCATCTCTTCCCAGGGACAGGCTACCTGCATTCTGGAAATATGTTAGAAGAGTTGGGATAAGAATTTCACAGTTCAGTTTATAAACTTTTTCACCCCCCTGCATTTAGTCTCTGCCTCATCCTTGGCTATTCTATCCTAAAGGGTTGCTATGAATTGGAATTAACTTGATGGCAGTGGGTTTGGTTTTGGTTTTCATGGTTTCAAATAATACCCATATGCACTCAACTTGTCTAAAAACTGTTCTCACAACCTCCCCCATATCCCTTTAAGTCTGCACCTTTTACTATTCTTATCTCAGCAGAGATATTTTCATCTACTCAGGCAATAAAGATAGAAATCTAAGTCGTGTTACTTTCCTTCTTCTCCCTCACCCACCATGTGGAGTCATTCAGCAATTTCTGCATATTCTAACCCCCTAACATCTCTAATAGCCCAACCCACCTTTCTACTTAACACCCCACCCCCACCCCCACACACAGTGCCTGAGTTGAAGTTTCAATTATTTCTTATTGGGACTAGTCTGATACTTTTCCTAGTTGATCTCATACTCTCCCATCTCAAAACTCTCTGATTCGTTCTTCACTGTTTTCCAAACTGAAAATTGATCATATCACTCCTCTATTTAAAACCCCAAAGGTTCTTCATTACCAACAGAATACAACACCAACCCCTTGGCATGGCACTTGAGACTCCCTGTGACTTGACCTCTCTCCCTCCTGCTCATTTGAATACTTTTCCCTTTCCTTGTCTTGACCCTTGCACTCTGGGCTTATATAATTGTTTGCATATCATACTATGCCACCATTCCTTAACTTGCTCAACTTGTTCCTTCTGCCAGGATTGTCCTTTCTCCTACCTTTCTTTCTGGTGATGTCCTTCTCTGTTTAAAAACTCTTAGAAAGATTACCTTCTCAAGGAAGCCAAACTTTAATTTTAGAATCTATCTTAGGGTTTAAAGTTCTGTTCACTGCTTTAAAAAGCTTTAGAAGAAAATGATGAACATAACGGGACACTGGTGGAGGGGGATGCTTTTTATATAGTGGCAGAGAACTTGTCTGAATTATGTTCAAACGTTTGGGGAAAGTAGAACGTGTGAGCAATAAACTTGGATATTTGGCTGAGGAAA